AAATGTTGCAGTTTTTGGCCAGGCATATTTGGACTTACAGAGCACCTGCATGCCGTGAGAGGGCAGTTTGGTAGTCACAGCCCTAGGCTGGAGGGGGCCCGGTTGTTGATTATAAGAGTCAGCCCAGTGACACATATATAATAAATGGAAATATAATATCAGTGAACAAAAATTCTGTAGTATCTCTCTATTTTCTGGATGTTTCCATGTATTAGCTAAGTTTAGTGAAATGCCTCAGAGAGAGGTAATGCCTTTTGGGGAACTTCTCCTCAGCTTCCGTCCTTACTGAATAGCCCTCTCTATTCTGCTATATAGTATCAGGGAGCTGGAGAGGTGGCTCAACGGTTAAAAGTACTGGCCGCTCTTCCAGAAGGTCTGGGCTCACTTCCCAGCTCACAACTATCTGTAGCTCCAATTTCTAGGGATCCAGAATCTCTTCTGGCTTCTTCAGGCACTGTGCCATGTGGTGCAAGCAAGCCATTCATACGCATAAAAGTTGTGATGGAAATTTTTTAAAAAATTAAAAATGAATATGGTACAGTTCTGAACTCGTGGGACTTTTATGAAGATCAATGAGCTAGCATATGTAAAGTACCTTGTTCAGTAACTGACACAAAAAGAGTGTAGTATTAAAAGCTGTTTAGTGGAGCTTAAATTTTATTTCACATTTTAATTTCCAGATGTCCTTGAAGAAACTGTTGTTTATTGGGCACCTGCTAAATGCAACATACTTCACATGCCTTACTCCAGTAAATTTTTCACTGACACTCTAGAGAAGAAGCTCGTTCAGGAACATAGAGCCAGCAAGTAGTAGAGTTGAAATAGATTTCCAGGCTTCTGAGTTCTAAGCTTCTACTTTCCGTAGGACACTCCACCCCTCAGATATCAGTTGACAATCTTTGTTGTTGTTTGTTTGTTTGAGACAGTGTGGTGGTTTGAAAGAAAATGATGACCAAAGGGAGTGGCGCTATTAGGAGGTGTGGCCTTGTTGAAGTAGGTGTGGCCTTGTTGGAGGAAGTGTGTCACTGTGGGGGTGGGCTTTAAGGTATCTTTTGCTCAAGCATCCCTCAGTGTGATACTCAGACTACTTCTTGTTGCCTGCAAGATATAGGACTCTCAGCTTCAGCTCCAGCACCATCTCTGCCTGCATTCTGCCATGTCCCACCATGATAATAATGGACTGAATCTCTGAACTGTAAGCCACCCCGGTTAAATGTTTTCCTTTGTAAGAGTTGCTGTGCTCCCTTTGCAGCCCTGGGAAAGCTGGTGTTGCCTCTTACTGGATACTGCAGCAAGAGAGCTGGGCCCTGCACTCTGGAGAAATGGCTCCACCCCTTACCACACGCAAGGGTTAACCAAACCTCAGGAGTGAGATGATTCTCTGCCTCACCTGAGGTGGGCGGCCCCAGTGGCCTGTACTGACCTAGGCCGACAGCCTGGCCTTGTGTTGGCCAACCCTAGCATCTACCCCATCTAGGACATGCTGGAGCTTGTGAAGGGACTGGTCCTGTGGAATGATACCCACAGGATGTCCAAGACTTGGGGAGGCCACGGGATATCCCAGAGGCACTTTGGTGAGGATCCAGTGATGATGGTGTACCAGAAACCAGAGGCCTTGAACCTGACCAGTGATTCACTGCAACGAACATTTGCTAGTAAAGCTAACAGGACAAAAGGATATACTATGTGACGCACCGAGGCCCCCCAATGCCAGGCTGGACTCTAACTCAAGGATCTGCCTGCCTCTGCCTCCAGAGTGCTGGGATTAAAGATGTGCACACCATGCCCAACTTCATTTGACAATCTGAAAGCCAAACCTGGGCACTTAGCTCAGTGGTAGAACACTGCCAGGTACAAGGCTCTGGGTTCAAACCCCAAGACTGAAAAACCAAAAATCCTGCAACTCTCACCTAACAGCCCAGGACTGGAGGTGTCATGATTAGGGAAATACCTGTGTGTGGTTATGTGTGTGGGGTGTGAGTGGAGGCTGGAAGACAATGTTTGTTACTGTTCCTCGTTTACCATGTCCCCAACCCTTTTTGAGATAGGATCTCTTACTGGCCTAAAGCTTACCAAGTTGGCCAGGCTAGCTGACCAGAGAGTCCCAGAAGTCCACTAGTCTCCTCAGTTATGGGATAACATGTGTCCAATTCTACACAGGACTTTTGAGGGGGGTGAAACAGGGTTTCTTTGTATAGCTCTGGCTGTCCTGGATTTCACTTTGTAGACCAGGCTGGCTTTGAACTCACAGAGATTTGCCTGCTTCTACCTCCCAAGTGCTGGAATTCAAGGCATATGCCACCACCACCTGGCTTACACATGACTTTTTATGTTGCTTTTGGGGGGTCAAACTCAAGTTTTCATGTTTACCTACGAGGCTATCACCCCATCTCCTCATTAGAAAATTGTACTTTAAAAACTAGGAAAACTGTACCTGTCTGTGTCAAGCCCTTTTAGAGCCAAGTGAAAAACATTGAGCCCTGGAGTTCAGGATCATCCTGTTTAACAGACAAAAGTCCCATTTCAAATTAAATAAATAAATAAATAAATAAATAAATAAATAAATGCAAGCAGCAAGCCATTAAAGAAAGAAAGAAATGGTATTCTGGCCTTTTGTCAGGTATTTGAAATTGTCTCAAATAATACTAGGGCCCTGTGGGTCTGGGGATGTCATTCTGTCAGTGTGTAACCTGCCATGTACCAGGTTAGGTCACCAGCAGTGCAGAACAGTATAAACATAAATAACATATATTAATATGTGCTAGTCAACATTATATATGTCATACACTAGTAAACACATTACCCAAAATTCCTCCATGTGTCTACTTTGACAGTACTGAGTTCAAGCTGATAGAAAAACACAACTGAATAAAACTTTGGGTGTTGAACCTTATGCCTTTTCCCAATTCATGAGCTGACCTTGGGGATCAATCCTCCATCAGTTTTCATGGCCAAGAGTGACTCCAGGGCCAGTAGTTCTCACAGAGTTCTGGGGGACCACTGAGCTCCAGGAAGCCCAGCTCCCCTCATTCCCTGAAGGATCTGTTTTCCCGTGTGGCTGGTGTTCCTGGCCTGGGAGCCTCGTGGTGAGAATAGGTGTGACGTCTGCAGCAGCTGGGAAGAGCTGAGAGGTAGATGTTTTAGCTTTTTGTCCATGTGTCTTTGTCACAGCTGATCAGTCCTGCCTTAGTTTGGAAACAGTCATGACTAGTTGTAATAACTCAGGGTAGGTGTGAACACCAAAATCTGGATTTCACCTTACAAGAGATCGTTCCTTCTGGTTTCTTTCAGCCACTTATAAATGTAAAAACCCATTGTTTGATGTTGAGCTGTATAAAGGCAGGTAACAGGCCAGATTTGGCCCTTAGGCTGGAGTTTGCCAGCTTGTCATATAATTGTGGTCTGTGGGAGATTTTTCTAAACGATTGTTTTTATTGTAATAGTAATGGAAGTGGACTTTCTTTTTTTCTTTGAGAAGTGGGTGGTTCTTAAAGCTAACGGTGTATAAGAAAATAAAATGAATCAAAGTCTTCCCACCTCCTGCCCTAATCACACACTCTAGATTTTCCCACTATTGATGAATATTAATTTTGGCAATGTGTAGACACGTACAAGCTTATATAAATAAATGTGTAAGCTCGTTTTACACTAATGAGTTTCTTTTTTTGAATGTGATTTTTAAAATTTATTCTTTATGAATTTCTTACATGTATACAATTGTATTTTGACCATGCCCACTCCATACCCCCGCCTAACCGGCTTTGTATGTATCTTGCTCAGTGTGTACTTTTCCCCATTATAGTGTCTTATGGTCCCTGCCCATCAATGCACAGAGACCACTTAGCTCCTCTTTCTCCTTGTACTCTTCTGAGAAAGAGTCCTGTGTAGCCCAGGCTGACCTCAGACTCACTGTGCATGTGAGGATAGCTTTGAACTAGATCTTCCACCTCTGCTTCCCAAGTGCTAGGCTTATGGATGTATACTGCCATAGTTAGCTTCATTCTTCTTGATGGCTTCAGAATTTCCTGTTGTGTAGATAGACCTATTATATTTCTAGCCCATCCTCTGTTGATACTTCCCATTTGAAATCCGGCTGTTTCACAATTTTCTACCCAAACAATACCTAAGTAAGGGTGCAGCTCCATACATTCACCATTGCATATTATCTGTAGTATAAAGTCTGAAGAGATAAATTGCTGAGTCAAAAGATGTGCACTCAGGCTGGAGAGATGGTTCAGCAGTTAAGAGCACTGACTGTTCTTCCAGAGGTCCTGAGTTCAATTCCCAGCAACCACACAGTGGCTCACAACCACCTTGAATGAGATCTGGTGCCCTCTGCTGGCATGCAGGCACAAGACTGTATACATAATAAGTAAATAAAATTGAAAAAAAAAAGAAACATTTAAAAAAATTTTAAAAATGTGCACTTAATATTTTAATAAGTATCTCTAAATTCCTATGTTTGTTTTCATTGGTTATACCTACATTTTTGCTATTTGGTCCAACTCAAGCATTCATCACAATGAATTTTGGTATAATGCCTTCATGCACAAGAACTTAACACACAGTTGCAATCCTATGGAGGCCAAAAGTGCAGCTGCAATTTGTCTGTGGCTTTTGAAGGGAAAATGGTTTTAAAGAGTATAGAGCCACCAAAGTAGTGCCCTGAATTCTAGGGTTATCTGGACATCGTCACACAAGGTACCGAAGCAGAAATTGTTCTTTTCCACACCTGCTGCAGGGCAGATCCTTCCGTATGTTTATTTCCTATTAGAGTAAAGCTCTCCACTGTCAGAAATTTATGTAAACAGTGCTAGTTAGTCAATATGGTGTGCTACTGTTGTACCAGAATACTACTGCTCCCTTTCTCTCTAGGGCTTTCTTTTTTGAGTCAATAAAGAATGAGACTAATGACTTAATATGTACAACACCTTCGAGGGCAACACTGTTAATGTCTTTTCTTTCCTCTTAATCTGAAATACATCTCTTTCTGCTCATAGGTTGTCAGAGAATTTTATCCTCACTCAATCATCTCTACTTATGCAAGCAGTCAGGCAGTCAACAAAGAAGAAATTTCTTTTTCTGGAGACAAAGGGATGTCTCCCACAGTATAGTTTCGCCAGCTGCAGTCTCTCCTGCACATCCTGTCCCCAAGGTACTGTACTGCTCCAGGCTGCTACTCTCTCTGGCGGGCAAAGGTGGACTGTACAAACACATTTGAATCATGAATTTAAAACTTGGTTTATGATTTCAGATTGTGATAGGAGCCATTTTATTTTAACATCCTGCAGTTCTAGAATATTTAGTAAAACAAAAATAAAGGTCTGGCCAAACAACTGCTTAGCTTATTTGGAATTTCAACCTTTAATCATTAAATTCTTTTATTTAGATTTCTAAGATGAAACTAGAACTGTTGTGTATACAGTTCATGACTTTTTTATTTTTAGGGAAAATGACTATAAAATTGGATTGATTCAAGAGAGATTCATGGAAATTAACATACTGATGTTTTTAAGCCCTTAAACTTTCTATGTTACTAATACTACTGTCTTTGAATAAATCCAGAGCATTCTTGATTCCCCTACCGAAGGTTTCAGTATGGTGGGAAAACTATCTCTCTGCCTTTGAAAATGCAAAGGCCATGTAACGGGTCATTTAGGAAGAAGGAAAATAGCTAAAAGAAATACAGACTTGTCACAAAAACCACCTGCTCTCTTCCTTTTACACTTTTTTTCTTTATTGTGAACCACATTGAGCACACCTCCCAAAGGTGAGTAGTCCATTTTTATAACAAGGGTTGAGAGACAAAAGAGCCAAAGGTCCCATCTTGGCTTAGGTCTGGCTATCATAAAGAGAGCCAGAATTTGGTATTAGTCATAAAATAAACGTTATTTTTCTTCTATAAAAACAAAGAGAAATCTCTAGGGTCTGGGGAGATGGTTCAGTTAGTAAAGTGCTTGCTCTGAAAACATGAGAGCCTGAACTCATCTCCAGCACCCACATAAAACAAGGCAGAGCTGGGGAGAGGAGGCAGAGACAGTTAGATCCTTAGGGTACACTGGCCAGCCAGTCTAGTCAAGTCAGTAAGCTCCAGATTCAGTGAGAGGCCCTGTCTCAAAAAATAAGTTGGAGAACAGCTAGATAAAAGTAATGTGTTATATTGTGCATTTCAGCCAGTTCCAGAGACAAACAGGCAGCCCTCAGCCTACAGTTATAACCAAGGCAGATCACAGAGCAGAAACAAGAATGTAAGCTTGTTGGGGGGACACCTAGTAAGCTGTGGGAGTTGGTCGGGTGACTGGAGGAGAGGAGATGCTTCTTCAGGGCTCAGCTATAACAAGCCAGGCCATTCTATTACCCAACTAACAAAAGCCCTTTGGGTTGGAGAGATGGTTTAGCCGTGTTTGCCACCCAAGTGTAAGAACTTGAGCTCAGATACCCAGCACCCACACAAGTGTAAGAACTTGAATTCAGATCCCCAACAGCCATAAAACCCTTGGTACTGGAGGTATATGCTTGTAATTCTAGTGTTGGGGAGTGGGCTTGAGGACATAGATAGGTCTCTGGAGCTTTTGGCTAGCTATGAGCTCCAGGTTCAGTGAGAGACACTGTCTCAAAAAGCAAGCAGATAAGGGAAAGAGAAAAGCCCTTCTGAACAGTGGAACAAGAGATCCTAAGGTTTGGCCTAGCCCTCTTCACAAACACAAGACCCCCCCTCCCCCAAGCCCTGGAGAGCTTTGAGGATGACCCCTTGGTCCAAACTTCTGTGTAGCCTTAATGTTATGGTCAGCAGTCGTATGTCCCATTGTTATAAATGGCTCAGGAAGGGCCCTGCAGACCTTGGGGCAGACAGAAGCTGTGTGTATAAGACAGTGTTACCTCCCAAGAACCCCTGGTGGGTTTCAGTTCGGGAGAACCAGCTGCAGGGGGCATCAAGGTTGGATGTTTGACTTTGGGTTGGGAGCGGGCTCATTGTTTCTTCTTGATAAATGATGGAAACATTCTAGGTAATTTTGTTGTCCTTAGAGAAGACATCAAGAAAATAAGCTGTTTTATTTTGTCTGGTGCTGTTGTCAGCTCACCTAGTATAAGAATGTGTATGTGGCAGGCCCATGAACTTGACACCCTTTCACATGGACTCATTGGGAGAGCATGTTGAGAGCTGTCCTTGGCATACATTTTGTCATTGATTGAAGAAGGTGAGATTGTTTCTTAATTAAGCATTGTGCAGATTGGAAACTTGGTGCTTTTTCACACATGGGCTATGCTTCTAACGGGCTCGGGTGGAGTAAAGGACAGAAAACTGCTGTTTGTTTTGACCAGAAGTCTACTTCAGCAGAACCCGACTCAAAGCCTGGTGAGGTTAACAGCCCATCCAGAGCAGCACTTGCAGGCGATGTTAAGTTCAAAAGGGCAGGGGAAGGAACTGGGGGTAGCCTGGAGGTCTGTTGTGCTGGCTTTGGAGGTCGGTGCTTTGGCAGGAAGGGCAGAACTCCATGAAGCAGGAGGCTGTGTCCGAAAAAAATGATGCCATTGTCATGTGTTGGGTTCTGATCTTCGTTTTCAATCCTTTTTCCTCAAGCACATAAAGAAGCCAGACTATGTGACGACAGGCATTGTGCCCGACTGGGGAGACAGCATAGAAGTTAAGAATGAAGATCAGATCCAAGGGCTTCGTGAGGCTTGTCAGCTGGCCCGGCACATCCTCCTCCTGGCTGGGAAGAGCTTAAAGGTGGTGTCTTACCCAAGCCTCAGCGTGACTTACACAGGGCTTGTTCCCCCTTTCTCCTTAACTCTCCTTCAAACTCATCTATTAATAAGTTGGTTTTTAAAGTAAAGCCTTAAGATGGGAAAAGGCGATTTTACCATTTTGTGTGTTCAAGAAAGGATGTAAATTTCTAAATTCTATTGTAACTGGCAGAATTCTAGAGCTACTTGGCTGACTCAGCCTATCCAAGGTGTTCTATGGCAGAGGACTTTGGCTTTGCCGCCTTGCCTCTGCCTGTGCTGCCTTGCCTCTGCCTGTGCTCTGCTTGTATTTCTCATGTTGCCTCCATGTGTTGAAAGTGTTGGTCCTACCTTGTATTCTGCCTCTTCTTTTCTTCAATGTGCCCTACAAAGAATGTGTAGACCCAATGCACAAAGCCACAGTAACATGGTGATTATATGAGCACGCGCTCGTGTGTGTGTGTGTGTGTGTGTGTGTGTGTGTGTGTGTCTCCTGCTGTGAGAGTCAGTTCTTTCAGAATCACCCAATCATCCTGCCATCTATAGTTCATAAAAAAATATAAATGTAGTTTCAAAGTGGGGACTCAATTGTGAATTTACTCACTATGTCACCTGTGTAACCAGTCTGTTATAGCAACATAGCCACACATAAGGTGAATATAAAGTAACCCGGGAAATTATTGAGGGAGTAGTAAGCATTCACTGAATAATTTGACTTTGCTATAGAATTTTATTTGTGGTATGGTTTCATGGAGATAGTCTTCATGTGCTTATGAAACTCAGTTTCTGGGGTTGGGGTATATCTAAACAGCAGAACACTTGCCTAGCATAGGTGAGGCCCCAGGTTCAATCCCCAGCAGTGCAAAATGGAAATAAAACAAGACCCCTCAATTCCAGTTACCTTTGTTGAAAAATAATTGGGTATTTTCTAGTAGGGGAAACATTAAAATATATTTATCTAGGCATGAAAGAAATTGAGCTTATTGAAAATAAAATCTTTATGGAGGGCCTCAGGGATGGAGTTTTTAAGTGATGGTTCATCACCTCCCTGCCGTTGCTGCCAAGTTTGCCTATTCGTTGTTGCAACAAGATAAAAAGGTGTAGGCAGAGCTTCCTTTCCAGCCTCTCTAAGCCAGCATTCCATTTATACACTTATTTGTATGCTTCCTTTATCCAGAGCTCTGACCCTTGAGGAAGAGGAAGGAATTGATGAAAGACAGATTGTTGAAATCATCAGGCTAACAGTGCATTTAATGATGCACTCTATGTCCTAGTGGTACATAACACCACCATATACCCTCCGAAGAGCACGGCTGAGGATGGTGGCGAGAGTCATGAGTAATTACTGTTACACCATGAATTCATTGTGGTGAATTCATACAGTCTCACCTTGGCAGCGCCGTTGTTGTAGACACAGTCAATAAATACAGGAAATGTCTTCAACTGTCGCTGCACACTTTATTAATATTTCAGGTTGACATGACAACGGAAGAGATAGATGCGCTAGTTCATCGGGAAATCATCAGTCACGATGCATATCCCTCACCTCTGGGCTATGGACGCTTTCCAAAATCTGTGTGTACCTCTGTAAACAATGTGCTCTGTCATGGCATTCCTGACAGGTATTCATTTTTCAATAATGTATTGTTCCTTTGAAACTAAGATCCATAGCACATATTGAAAAATACTGTAGTTCAATTGAAACCTACCTGCATGCATGCTTCTGAAATTGATTATGGTAAAATAAAAATTTTGATGGTATTTTACTTCTACATGAATATAACACTTTACCATTTGATGTTTCTTAAAGCAGTATGTGAGCCACAAAAATATTTGTACATTATCTATTTCTTTTAACTTATTCAATTTTTACCATATGGTAATGGAGGCAAATTTTATTGACAGCTATTGTTTTGGCTGTTTACAAACTTAAGGTAATTAGGAAGTGTATCTTTTTAAAGAATCATGAAATCTTAAGGCAGCAATGTTTGTTTCCTGTATTTCTTATAAAAGCTGGTGTGATTAACATAAGACAAAGGTCAGATCTGGTTACTCCATTTCTGCTTCACTACAAATTATTGCCGCAGCTCATTGGGTTTGCAGTAGTAGTCTTTGGGTGTTTATTTTCACGTTTCTTTTTATTGAGATCTGTCTGTCACCATTTTTTCTCTGTTTATGTTCCAGCCGACCTCTTCAGGATGGAGATATTATCAACATTGATGTCACGGTGAGTAAATCATATAAAAAAAATCATCTTTGATCAACTTCAGAATTGCTAGTAGCAACAGGAAGGAGAGTGGCTTGAAAATGTGAACTGCGCTCGGGGAGTGCTGTTTACTTCCAGCCCCGGACACAAGCAGCTGGTTTCCTTTTTTTGTCTTTAACTCTGTGTTTATTCCAAGTAAACCCAGGCCTGACTTGAATTTCGGGCTGGAATCAGATGCACTGAGATCAATGTTGGCCTAAGTGAAATGTCAGCCCAATCCTGCTATGTGTCATGTTTTTGAGAAGGTGTAATTGTTATTGATCCACTGTGTAGTTAATGCAGAGCACCATAGCACTAGGCAGCTGCTGAAGCTAGATATGTATGAGATGAGCTAACACGAAGAAAGCCAGCATTTTTCCTTCACTCTGCCAAGATTGATCTTCCTCTTCCTGCTGATTTTGAGTGGGGCCTGTCATTATCTTACTCTGTCATTAGGGGCTACATTGGCCTGCGTGTCAGTCTATTTGGACAGCAACTCTTTTGCTAGCAGTGTTCCCTAGATTTATTAAAATCCCTGAAGGTAACATTGTGTTCCATCTCTGGTCTAGAGAGGCCCGAGCTCAAAGCACACAAGCAGAATGGTTTTTCTGTCTGAATTTAAGTTTTCACCCAACGGTTGATTGCCTTTCTTTTTAAATAACAAGCCTAAGTGATTTAACTTAGGGACTGCAAATTGTACACGCACTAACCTTTTCTGGTTTCCTTAGCCTCTCATCTTCCTCAAACTTGGATTATTTGTGCTCATTTCATCTCAAATTGTTTGTAATGGTGCCTTTTGAATTGTGCAAAGGATTAATAAAATCTGTGCCTCTATGACCAATTAATAACTTGTAGATAAATAAAATGTGAACGTCTGGCAGGGGCTCTTGGAGATGGGTGCCATTCAAAAAACACGTTTTCAATTAGAGAGTAAATATTTTTAATAATAGTTATTTTATATCCAGGCTGAAAGTAGAGTAGCAATGGGAATACAATGGAAGCAGGCACCAGTAGATTGTGTTAGATTTTCCATCGTTTAAGTTAATTCAGCCTTGTTTCTTCAGATTAGCTTGTGCATAGGTACAGCCAAACAATTCCTGCTCATATTACATCCCATGTCATTGTGTCTCAGAATGCTTGAGTGTCTGTCACTCCACACACCCTGGTAGGGTCTTTCCCACTCAGAGCTGTGTGGGAGGCTTTGTGAAGTGCACCTGAAATAAAGTCTCTCTTGTGACGCATTTTTATCTCGGATTGAACCTGATTTTAGGGTTTCACATTTATTACCTCACCTAATCACCCACTAATAAGATATTGCTGCTCGAATGAGATGGGGTGTCTCCCATGCTGTTCCCAGCGTGCCCAGAGAGAGCGCATTATTCCTTTCTGGGTTCCCTTAAGGCTTTTAATAAAGAATTTCATTTCTGGGGCTTAAATTATTCCAAGAATCCTTAAACTCACTTGAAATACTTTCTAGTGCCTAGAAATACAAAGGAGTCTAAGAGACATATTGGTCAGTATCAAGAAATTGTATTTCTTATGAAATATTTTATTAACTGAAGAACTGCATTTCTAGCTCCTGTGTTTTTTGTCAGAAATACCCACTGCATTTTATGTCTACTATGTGCCACAAAAAAAAATGAGTTTCTTTTTCTCTTGAAAGTTGATCTTTTATGACAATGTGGTGTACATAGTAGTTGCTCGCTTAATACATGTTAATGAAGTGTGAGAATGGTTTGTAGGGACAAATTGTAGTTATAGTCAATTGTCCCAATCTTTCAAAAGTGTCTTCTTTCTGCCAAACATGTGCAGAGTTCTGAGTTCAATCTCCAGTAACATCCACACTTATTGTATTCCATAAGAATTATTGAAAAAGTAATGGTTTAGAACAACGTTGATGAGATAGATCAGCAAGTAAAGGCATTCGATGCCAAAACTGACAACCTGAGTTAAATCCCTGGGGCCCACATTATAGAAGGAGAGAACTGACTCCTGCAAGTTGTCCTCTGATCTCTACACATATACCATCACACACACACACACACACACACACACACACACACACACATACACATACACATACACATACACATACACATACACTACATAATTTTAATATATTTTAATTTTAAAGTAATATGAAACAGCAAGTTAAATGAATTTAAGCAATGCATTTTACTTAACACGTAGTTACAAATTTTCTTGAGTAATTACACTTATATTCTTGTATATGACAAGAGCTTATATTTTTCTGTAAAGGAATATGAGTGGTAATAAATTAGAAAACACTACAATCTATCAGATTGATTGGGGTGTACTCTGCCAGTAACCCAAAGGAGTTGTCTGCGCCTCAGTTTCCTGACTTGGGAGTCAGAGATCTCTAAGATGACTTTTTGTCTCCTCATCTAAGAGAGCTTCTTCAGTGTGTACCAGTGTATGGGCGTGGCATTGATTCAGACAGAAAGCCTCAAAATAGCTTTTGTCATAAAATTCTCTGCATTCTACCTTAGGAAAAGGAGAACTGTGAAGATAATTAGGATAAACTCAGGCAAAATAGTAAATGCCATGTTAAGTCCAAGAATCAATGGTCAACTAGTCTCCTCTGCCTTCTACAGGTATTCTAGTGTTTGCTAATCATTGATTTTTCATGATGAACCTGATGTCGTTCAAGGTCACATGGAGCTCCCAAGTCATTGAAGACTGATAAAAATTTTCTTTCTGTGGTTTTACTGCTGAGCTTGCTTTGATATGTTCTAATTCTTTAAAAATCCACACGAGTGTTTCCTGTTACCATCATACTTTCTGGAACATTTGATTCAGATGTTGTTTCTAAGACGTAGAATTTTTCCACCATATTTCAATACTGTATCGAGACACTTCAATTCTTAGCATGAAATGCTCCTGCCCACCATTGTAGTGCTGACATGCCTATCTTATTTCTTCTTGTCATTATGTATCATTTCTAAGTATAGAGCTGGTAAATAAAAGAGCATGTAAATCCTTATGACACCAAGGACATGTTCAACTATGCTAAATACTTAATTTTCTAAACCTACTGTGGTAATTGCAGGTCAATGTATTTGGTAACTAATTTCTCCAAGCATAGTTTTGCCTTCTCGGAAATAAAATGAGGGATCAAAATGCTGCAATAGTACTATTAATCACAAAACTGAAGTAACCGAGCTGGTCATTTGTTCGTTTTTAGATTTTGCAGGCTCCTCACATGGTTTTACCTTTTAAATTTGAGGATGGTTTTAGTCTGTCTTTTTATTCTTTAATATGTGAACCCGAGACTAACTCTGAGAAGATAATGAATTTACTAAATACATAAACAAATGGTATATATACTTTAGGAAACTAGGATTCCAGACAAGGACGTGCCTTAAATTTTGTGCCTGTGTTTAGGTCTATTACAATGGCTACCATGGAGACACTTCTGAAACCTTTTTGGTGGGCAATGTGGATGAATGTGGTAAAAAGTTAGTAGAGGTTGCCAGAAGGTGTAGAGACGAAGCAATTGCAGCTTGCAGAGCTGGGGCCCCCTTCTCTGTAATTGGAAACACAATCAGGTAAGCCTTGCACTGACAAGTAAAAGGAGGGTTGGCAAATGGTACAAAGGTTATTGGTGGCTGGGTATAAAGTTGATGACATGTTTTATGATTCACAGCCATCATGTCAGTCTGATATCAGTATGTGAACTGCCGGGCTGCAATATTGTTCCCTGGGTTGAAAAAAAAAAATGGCTTAAAAAAGTGAATTTGACCAAGATCAGCAAGGAAACTTATTGAAGCACTGAGCAATCTTAATATGGCTGCTTTTGTTTTAGCTTGACGTATTGGTCTGTGATGTCCCTATATTCAAATGTGGAAGAAGATACCTAAGAAAAGGGCTGATCTTCCCAGCCCTTGGATAGTGAGAAAGGAGAAAAACTCCATTTTATAAGGAGTGAGGGGAGCATTCTTGTGATGCCAAGATCAGAAGTGTGAGCTCAAAGCAGCCTGACTTTTTAAGTTAGCAGATTAAGAAATAGCCTGCAAGGCTGCTCTGCGTCCCTTTTTGTGTGGGTCATTTTCCCTATGAAACATTGTTTACTTTCCCCAGAGTTTTTCCTGTGCTTGCTTTTTGAGTGTAAGTGTATTTTCTGAACTCAAGACTTTTCTTTGTAATCTGTTTCCCACTTTCAGATCTTTCCCCCCCTAAATGTTTTGGAGTAGACAAGCAGACTATGTGTTTTCGTTTAAAAGTAACACATTTTGTTACAGATGCTCGGCCAGTCCCCTTTAGAGTGCTGTTCTCATTAATATGAGCCCGGGCCTCTGAGCACTCCCCTTCGCCCAAAGGCTGGAAAGCTCAGTCACCTTAAAAAGGCGCTGCCTTTCTCTCTGAGCACGCCTTCAAATACTTTAAGAAAAAAGGCAGTAAAATATCAGTTAAATGTATTTATGGCTTTAAAAATATTGTAACAGTGTCTGAATCAAACTTTAGTAAAATCTCTTTGGGTTATATCTGAGAAGCTTTTATTGAAGACTTTGCACAAAATTGTGTTTTTGACAGTTTTAAATTATAGGCTAACTAGCCTGGGAAAAAAGGATAGTGTCTCTCTGTTCTTTCATAGGAAATGTTGAATCAGACCCCTACTGGGAAAAGAAATTTAATGCATATCTCACTATCTTACTGTCCATGAATATAATAGAAATGAATTCAAAATGCAGTTTTATTTTTGCAAATGGGATGAGTCGATAGATGCACCTCATATTTTTGAACACCTAGGGTTCAACAAATTTACTGGTGGCGCTCTTGCATTTTAACAAAATTTATTCTTCAGTAGAAGGGGGCAGAGAACACTGGATTCTTATTCAGGCAATTCTGTGGAGCTCTGCATTCATGGCTGTGTCTAAAGGGCATGTCAGCCTTTGATTCTCTCTGAGAGGTAATTATCCTTTTCCTGTCACGGAACAACAAATGATAGCTAACTACAGAGGCACATTTGCAGTAGTCACATTCATCAACTGCAGAAAAAAAATTCAATTTAATTGTGCAACACAGCTGCACATGGGCTTTTGAGCATTTCTGTTGTTCTCCTTGTCTCGCTATTCCTCCCTCCAGATCTATTTTTTAAACTTTTTTTCTGGTTATTTTTTCCCCTTTTTGTCTCTTCTTCCATTTTTACTCTCTGTACTTTCTTGTTAAAGTAATTTTCCTTTGTGGCTCTCATTCTTTTTTCCCCATTGAAGGCTATGAATGTAGAAAATTATCACAATTACTCATATAATTGAGCCTCTTTGTAGCAAGTGCAACTCCAGTAGCCTTTCTCCATCATGAAAATGGTTTCATTATAGGGTTTTTCATATTCTCTGACACCATCTACACAGAGGAACAGGCGTGCAGATGAGATGTACTAGGAACAGGCTAGATCAGTAAGGTCACAGTAGGAATAATTAGCTCTGCTATGGAAAGAGCATCCAGGCCTTTTACTGCTACATAAATGTACTGTCCGTGGCTTTTAGTCACAAAAAAAACTTACTAACAAATGGAGCTCCCGCCTACTACTTTGAAAAAAAGATTTGTATCAACACTACAATTTTCCATCATTAAGACTAATAACACAGAGCCTAGTATACATCAAGGGGAATAAAAAGAAAAATCTCACATTCAAGTGGTGGCTGGGCGCTGACCTTTGTTCCCTCTTTTTGTATACGACTTAACTCTTTACAAAAAAGAGCCACACGCCACACCAACATGCAGGTGAACTCCAGCTAGTACTTGCAAAGCACAGCATTCAGTCGGAAAATCTGATAAATCTCCATGCAGGATAATGCATTTCATTACATATTCACTACATTAATTCCAGCTACATAAAAAAAGCAAGAGCAGAAGAAGAGTGGAATTCAAAGTGACATTGGATTTTAGCTATCTGGATGCGAAGGTCAGTTTGGGCAGAGTATGAATTTGCATGAACAGGCTCCTTTGAAAACCAGATCAGCCCCAACAACTGCACACAGAAAACTATGTGGAAAATAACAGACAATGAACTTTTTACTCTTATCCTAATGCATTTCATTATTTAGATAGTTTGTGTCTGCCTTTGGCGAAGAAACTGGCCCCGACTCTGACAAATGTTTGTCCTGATGTGTTAAAGCAGTATTTCTGCACATCTATTGTTTTGCCTTTTTTTATTCAGGAAAGATATTTAGAGAGTCAATAACCAAATGAGATCCACCTGTGAGCCAAAAAGTACTTGAAATCTTTACAGACCAGAGGCTTACAAACATTTTTAAAAAAAAAAAACTTAGTCTCCTTTAAGATAGTCAGTCGCCATCTGCCATAGCCTCCTTCTACTGATAGCATGGAGAACACTCGGGCAACTTGCACTTCTTGTATGCTACCCCAAACCTTGGGGTCACTACAAGAAAACTTGAAATGCTGCTCAGAAACCTAAAGAATAGGAGGGTGTCTCTGTGGAAATGTCAGTTTAAATGATTCCACAAAGACGGTTTTCTCTGTGCCCTTTGGCTTCATGAGTGACTCTCTGTGATCTCTAGGCCATGGCGCTATTATACCCACTCTCTAACCGCATTTGCTCTACAATAATCTCGATATTATCCATAAGTGTGAGAAGAACATGAATATGCTGCTGCGTGCATCACTAATCTATGACAGTTCACTCCAAAATAACTTAAACTTATAGTTGGAGATGTCATGATGAAACTATCAATAAATGGTTTTTTAATGTTTAATTCATAAGTATATGTTTTAATATTAATTTAGAACAATACAAGGCAGATTTTTTAAAAATAATCTCTTTCTATTAGATTATGCACATTTAAACAATAAGTGGCTCAGGCAAAATAAGTCATTTTAATGTCATCTGTGATGGATTTTCCTTGACAGCTACTGTAAATTACAATTACACTGCGTCTCTCTGCACATGAAAGTAAGCATTGCAATAAATTATCTTTTATTTCAATCCATCATGTCTGCTTTTCAGAAACAGAGAACCTCAAATAAAAGTTCAGCTCTATTGTAAGAAAAATACAGTAATTTGTGATCCAGCTTGAAACAAAAAATAAAATGTCCCAATCTATTGGAAAACAGTTGTTGGCTTTCAGAAATATGACTAATTGTACTTAAACATTCCTGTCATTAGAGGGAATCCCTGGCTTTGTGCATTTCCTCCATTTAGAGGCTACTGTTTGGACTGAAACCTGCACAGATTAAAGTGAAATTCCGTAACTTATCAAATCAGTGGCCTTTTGAGAGCCTTTTCTGTTCAGAGATGGTGGCCCTCTGGAGCCGTGTTCACATGAAAGTGGTAATAAAGCATCCCCACGTGCAAGCTTATTTCTTTCAGAGTGTGTACTTAAACACGGTACTCCTCTGCCCTCTTGGGGAATGCAGTTTTAGTCACATAAATTACTTGAAATGTGTTAAGAAATTGTATTTATTTAGACAAGACGTAAGTAGAGTCTAACTGCTTCATGAAAAGGAATTAAACTGAAGAGAAAGGTCACGAGAATCCCCTTAAAGGAAACTTCTCTTCCAACTATGGGCTATAACTGAAAAGTGAGTTTGAAAGCTACCTTTACGAAGCTCTCCCCATCGTTCCCTCTGAAATCCAGTTTTGACTGTATGGGCCTCATGGCCAGGCATCCTGTCTTAAAGGGTTTTAGCTAGAGAAAATCAGAGCAGAGACCTAACACTGATCGAGTTATTTTCAGTAGATTTCAACAAGAAAAAAAGGTTTCATCTTGAGGGAGCTGTTCTGAGCAAGAAAACCCTTGTGCTGAGAGACATCTGTGGGTCTGAGGGTGGACTGGTGTTGGAGAGCAATTACCTCACTTCTCAGTGTCTGCCCGCCTGCCCCTCCAGACCCCCCCCCAGCACCACTGTAAAGAGGTAGATACACACCCCACCTTCCCATGCCATGTTGGGGTGACTGGTATCTGCTTTCCCAATGAAGGAGTGGAATTTGATTTGCTAAGTCCTTTGGATTGTCTTTACAAAATCAGATTTAAGTCCCACAGCCAGAAGAGTCTGCTCTCATCATGTGTTTCGAAATAGTTGAAATCACATGTTTTCAAACAACAATTGAGAACATTAATGGAATTTTATCTCACTTTAAGTGTATGTTGAAAACGACACGTTTAAAAGGGAAATACTCTGAACAGAAGTGCATCTTTACTTCTGGGAACCAAACGTGTTCAACTAGGGAACTGAGGGAGGAAATTTGTCCAGTTCTTTTCCCTTCCCCCATCTGTGAAATCATCTAGCCTCTGCATATGTGACACAGATTGTGGAACACTATAGCCGGAAGTTCCATCAGGACCCCGAGAGCAAATTGTGGTGGGAGAAGGTACTCAAATATCTTCAGTTACCTCAGAGTCAGACAGTCTCTTTTATGAAGAGGAATGAGAAGTGTGAAGGGGGGGGGGGGGCAGGGATTTCTAGAGTGGCCTTTCTTCTCCTCTCATTGGAAATTAAAATGAAGATTACCATTGTAACACACATTTAAGATGTAGCTGTGAAGCCTGCCCATCAGTTGGATCATTAAAGGGGAAAAAAAAAAAAACAAACTAGTATTCTTTTAAAGACAATACTAGAATGCTTTATACTGAATGCTTTTCAAATTATTGATGGTGGTTGGGGCTGAACTGACAACATACAGGTGTTGAGAGAACTCATTTTTATGTAAACAAACAAACTAATAACCTAGGCCATAACCCTCTATTACGCTCCATCCTCAGTTTTATTCAGAGATTTCGTGGATGTAGGAGAAATCCCTTGGGACAGATGTTATACCTCCTGGCCAAAGCACAAGGATCTACAATACAGCCTGGACCCTAAAGCATAGCTTTGGAGATGGAGACTTTGGCTTATTCCTCTCCTCAGTACCTGCATAGCTTTGTCCATTTCTGCCCTACTGGTTACACCAAAATTAAATTCCCATGAGATGCTGCCTCCACCATGCTGGTTACAGGGACATCCTTGTCTAAGTGAAGATTCTTAAAAATCTGGGAGTGTGTTTCAATGTTCTTAAAGATTAAACTAGGTGTGGCGGCACATACCTGTAGTCCCAGAACTTGAGATACATAGTGGTGAGTTCAAACACTGGCACACAAACTGAGATCTTGTTCAAAAAAGAAGGGGGAGGGAAGTGTGTGGAGATATGATGGCTTATAAAGTTATTAGTCAAAAAGGTGTGTGTGAAACTAAATTAGTATCTTTTAGCAATGAGTTTGAAGCTGGGTGTGGTAGGACACGCCCATAATCCAGCACTCAGGAGATAGAGACAGATCTCTGGGAGTTCCAGACCAGCCTGGTTTACAGAAAGAGAGAGAGAGAGAGAGAGAGAGAGAGAGAGAGAGAGAGAGGAAAGAAAGAAAGAAAGAAAGAAAGAAAGAAAGAAAGAAAGAAAGAAAGAAAGAAAGAAAGAAAATGAGTGAGAGCTAAAAAATGTTTGGCTTTGTTAGGAATTGTAATCATGGTTACATAAATACCTGCCCATTTCTATGGGTAAGGTTGAAGACGTCATGCCCTTTGCCCACATGAAAATATATATCATTGGTGTTGTACATGTTTTTTTTATCAGTTTGTCATCCCCAAAATAACTGTATTCACCTGGCCTCAACAAACCTTTCCATCCTTGCAGGTAAAGATTTCGGGTTTGGATTCTATGTGCTATATTCCATTGATAAGGGATAGATAGAACCCAAAATGTCTGCATTTATTATTAGGATCAATATTAACTCTTTTAAAATATTGTGATAAAAGACATTTTATGAACTTTGCTAATGATATGCTTCTTATTAAGTGGAACCCTAAAATGGTCACCAATTTTGAAAGAAAATGGACAAAAAGGACAATCTTTTGTGTCTGTTTACAAAATGTCTAACACTTTAATTAGATGAGAGTACAGGAAATCATAAAATTAGAAAGTCATACTTGGAGATTATAATTTTCTTTTGTTTAATGCCTGAGTTAGTAGTAACTGTTGATAAATCCATCAAAACCAGGTAAGTTTTTTGTGACAGTGTTACAGACATATTTGTGTGTGTGTGTGTGTGTGTGTGTGTGTGTGTGTGTGTGTGTGTGACTTTCTTGTCTCTATCTTTATGTATATCGGTCTACATTTGTGTGTATGCATGTTTACTTCTTGCCTAAAAATAACCTTTGTTAAATGTACTCAAATGAGTCTCATATGTATACCTTCTTTCTTCATATTATCCAAAAGGATTTGTTGACAAGCATCAGTCAACTAAAATTATTCCAGAATAAAGGAAACATCAATGCTATCATCAGACTTGAAATAAAACTAATTTTTATTAATTAAATGTTTCCATTTATTTTACATCCCGACCACAGTTTCCCTCCCTTCTCTCCTCCCATCCCCCCACCTTCCCTCTGCCTCCCCATCCACAGAACTGATTTTCCCCCCTCAGAGACTATTTTAAGTGATTTTATTTTTAATCTTAATATGCACTAAAACATTTTATTAAATTAGATGTCTTTTGGTCACTTTAAAGCCGCATAACTCAGCAGAATGGTTTGCAAGTCTGTCCACATTTTGTGGGACATGGGATTGGATCATACTTTCATGGACATCCAGAAATTTGGCATCATGGTAAGAGTTATTTTGGAAGCTACTTATTGAATGGCATCAATTTTTTTTCCAAGTTCTGTTTGCTTTGAATTCACATTGTCATTCCCATCCCACCCCACTGTTATGGGAGTGTGAGGTTATCTACTTAATTTTAACCAGGATGTTACTGTTGGCTCACCGGTCAGCACATTTCCCAAATGAGGTTTATTTTGGTTTTGGTCTTCTCCTGAAGGATGCATGGCTGGCGGGCCCGAGGGATGTTTGTCTAAGAAAAGTTACTGCAAACAAAACCCCACTGCACCGCTGTCCCAGCAGCATGCACATACGGCTGTTTTCTGTTTTTCTTCTCTACCCCCTTTTCTAACCGCTGACTGTTGTGGTTAAACTTCATTACATCCTACACAGCGTTGACAGCTGATGTATTTAGCAGCATGTACTCTTTAGTGTTTTCTGGATTATGCCCACCCTCGTGTTCCTTCCCCAGAATCCAGTTTTTCCTTGACTGGGTGTGCACCCTACAGAGAGAAGGCAGCAGCCACCAGGAGGGGTGGGAGGACTTGGGTTAAGGTGGGAAGCAGCTGCATTGAGGAGTCCCAAGGGGGTGCACACTGGAACAAGGGCTAAGAGAAAGTTAGTCCTGGGTATGGCCCTGTGTGCTTGAGATACGACAAGTCCCTGGAAGAACTAATTGTAAACCTCCCTAGAGCATCCATGGAGACCCAGCAGAACAGTACCTCTCTAAGCCAGAGTCCCACCTGAGGCAGCTCAGAAGAGGTCCAAGTCAGTGTGGAAAGAGCCTGCTCCTGGTGCATGCAATTGTTTGAGGGTGGAGCTCCTTCCTTCTGCTCCATCCTGCATGCTAGGTGCTATCCTTTGGCATCTTTCCCCAAGACTTATTTTGGCCTTAGGGAGACCAGGAGACCTAGCATCAGGTGGCACTGGGGAAGAGCAGACATGAGGAAGAGAAGGAATTGTACTGGTATCTGAACACCTAAGCTGCCCCTGCCAGGCCTTGCCAAACTGCTAGAGTGGGTGGGGTCTGAGAACACAGATACCACAAAGAGTGAGACTCCCCTTCCTCCTGCAAGCCCTGTGTTTAACCCCGTGGGCTTATCCAGGCATCCAAAACCCTTTATCCTTTCCAAAAGCAAAATGGCCACTTGTTGTGAAGCAGCCCAGTTCCCGCCCGACCCCCACCCCCATCTCTCCTTGGTTCCTTCTCTCACACCTCCCTGTGTTTGTTTTGCAGCAAATGACAATGACCTGCCCATGGAGGAAGGCATGGCTTTCACTATAGGTAAATGCTGGACTCCTCTTTAGAGAGCTGGGGCCCCTGGACGGAAACTGGCCTTTGCCTAGACTTGAAGTCCTGCAAAGGACTAATGAAGCTAATCAGCATAATGAAATAATTTGGATGCATAGCAAATGTGATTAAATAATATCCTCTAGCCCGGTCTTCCTAAATCAGATACTTACTGACACATTTAGGAGACTGCAGCCATCCAACCTCTAATTCTGTTACCGGCATAATGTGCTGGGTTTTTTGTTTTGTTTTGTTTTGTTTTGTTTTTTCATTAACACCCAGTAACTAGAGACGATTAAGTTCCTTGCTCTCTGTCAGCAAGTGGCATGTGCTCTGTGGTGGCCCATCCCTGGCTGATGGCATGATTGGTGTTACCACCAAATTCCAATCACCTAGGGCCACCAAGGCCTCCTAGTTCTGACTGTAGGACTTAATGGAGAAGCAATTAGGGTAAAATAAGAAAATTGTTATTTGCTGATTAATGAACATTTTGAGCGTGTTTTAAAAATTCAAATATTTTAAAAAACTGACTGATATTTATAAGAGGGACTGGTGTTTGGGTGGTTATTATCCACAGGGTCCTAATTAAGTCTTGATTAAAATGCCCTTCTTTCTCTAAAAAATTATGAACCAGGCAACTTCATACATTTTTTAATGCTGTTGCATTTCCTCTTCCTACTGTTTGGTTTGTAGTATACTATGTAAGCAACATCAATTATCAGCCCTTGCAAGATGACAACAGGAACTGTCGGTGAAACACTCAGGGGGAGGGAGAGCCTCAATCTCTCAATCTCTCTCTCTCTCCCCCCTCTCTCTCATTATAAACTGAAACAATATCTACTATAGTAAATACTTCTTTCCTACAGAGCCAATCATCACTGAGGGATCCCCAGAATTTAAAGTCATGGAGGACAAGTGGACTGTGGTCTCACTAGACAACCAAAGGTGCTTGCCCTATTATGCTTGAATTGCTGGGGAAGGAAGGCAGCACACCAGTGTCTAGAGCTGCTAGTGCACACAGGGTCCTGACTGCCGCCCTGTGTGTTTCAGGTCTGCACAGTTCGAGCACACAGTCCTCATCACTTCAAGAGGCGCGGAGATCCTGACCAAACTGCCTCAGGAAGTCTGAGAGTCTACCAGCAAGGCTACTGAGACCCAGTGCCTATTTTCTTAAGGAGCCCTTTGAGGACTGAGGAACCAATCACAGGCCACATAGGAGTCTGTCTACACAGCAAGGACAGGGCTTTGGGGACTCTGGTCTGCTGTCTGCAGGACCCCTGGGGAACCACCTTCCTGGGCAGGTGGTTTGCCCTTTCTTGCGATTGTTATTCTAATTTCCCTGAAATCCACTTCAGATTCTACCCAAATTAAAAAACAAAACAAACAAAAACAAAAAAACCTCTTAAACCCATTGTATTCACTCTTTACAAGTGACAGTTCCAAAGGGGTGGGGGGCAGGTGATTAGTTTTGGAATCTCCAAACTTTTAACATGCACACACAAAGAAAAACAGAACCTGTTCACTGAAAAATTTGTTTTAATCTGCTTTTCCCCTTGTGAATCTTAAATTGGCTGAGCCTGAGGACCCTTCCAGAGGCAGCACCTGCTTCCACCCCCTGCCCGATTTCCCCTTCATCAAGCTTTGACCAGGAAGCATTGCCTACAAATGTTTTCTTGGCTGTGGACCATAGTTTATCCTTTCTGAAGGTGTTAGCAGTCCAGACAGACCTTGCAGACCCCTGAAGCTCTTCATCAGCAACCATGCCATGCTTGGTTCCCTCCCAGCTTGAGACCACCCCTAAACTAGATCATTTGTTGTGCTAAAAATTTGAGCTGCAGCCCCATACTTTAGAAGTGTGGCTCTTGAGTTTAGTGCCCAACTGGTTCTTAAACTGTTCTCCCCCTGGCTGCTGGCCTGGGACAGGCACTCCCCTGCTCCCTGGGCTATACAAATAGGTATTCCTGAGACTGCACAGGATCCCTGAGATGGGAGACACCAGACACATTTGAGATAAGGCCCTACCTAGCTGGCCTGATCTGGAACTGTCAGCTTTAACTATGGATCGGCTAGCCTGAAGCACCTACCTGCTTAGGAGCAGAAATCCATTCCTGTCCAGGGCACTCTGCTTTCCCTTGTTCTCTGGGATCTGTTCACATCTCAATCCAGGGTAGGCCAGGCTGAGCTTCACAGGAAGCCAGTTCCCTCTGGGCATTTTAGAAAAGGCATGTCTAGAGAGGTCCAGACCATCAGTGAGTGGCCCTGCTAACTCTAGTTTGTCTTCTGGTGGATACCAATGTGGCCATAGTCTGAACAGAGCTTAGGTTGTCAGAGAGCCAAGGACATGCCTCATATTTTCCAGGATTGATGGCAGCGGAGGCATCCATAGGGAGTTAGCTTGACTTTCAGACATCCAGAGCCATGAAAAAGGAGATGGAATACTGAAGGCCACCATAAGTGACAAATCCCAGCTCTTCTCTGAACCTGGGAATCTCTCCATGGTCTCCAACCCTCCAGATCAGTACAATCTCTACACCTAGAGATTGCAGTTGTTTATGGAGGTGATTCTAAACCTCATTTGTATGAGAACGAAGAGGAATGGGGATTTAGAAGGTCACCTGACAAACTTTGGAGGTTCTCTGAAGGGGCTGAAGCTGAAGCTGTAGCTGTAGCCATGGAGCAATTCCTATTCCCAGGAGAGGAACAGGGCCCAGCTGGCCTTGGGAGCTATTTGCCAGAGAATGACTTTCTCCTTCCCTAGAGCAATCAGATTAGCATGTCGTGTCTTTATCTGCAGATCAGTTTACTCCCGGTCCCCCTAAGGATAGTTTTATTAGGACCACAGGATTTCACCAACCACCGGGACAATTATTGCAGGTAGAGGTATTTATGGGGAAAGTATATAATCTGATTTAGTAATCTAGCCTGCACTGCTAAACTCAGCAGCTCCATAGGAGACAAACTTGAATTAAAAGAATTTTGTGTAACATTCTCTGAAGTTGAGATTAGGAAGTAGGTTGGGTTTTTTGTTGTTGCTGTTTTGGTTTTGTTTTTTGTTTTGTTTTTTTCAAGAGCCTCATCTTGTCCACTTCCTCATCAGTTGGCCAGCTGAACTGACCTGACACCTAACCCTGGCTGAGTCTGGTGGGAACTCCAGCCAGGAGGAGTGAGCTGGCTACCACCTCCATTGAGTTCTGCTCCCTATCTGGAACCTTCAGGACCAATGCAAGATTCTAATTTCCTTTCATACTCGGGCCAGAAATGGTCTAAGCATTTTAGAACAGGTGCTGCCTTGGAGTTGGTACAGTCAGAGGAATGCATTCTGGGCTCACAAATAGAGATAAGATCTCACTTCGTGAAGCTAGGTGAGGCATGTGCACTCTTCCAGAGGCCCGGCTCAGCTTCTCCCTAGACTTGCTTGTTTCCTCGGATTAGGAAATAATTCTGGAGTGTGCTCCCTCACAATTCAGTTCTAAATTATGCAGTCTCTGAAACCCTATTGAGCCAGTCGGTTCCCAGAAGCCATCCTGGTCTCCTGCTCCGCTAAGCGGAAGGACAGAGACCTAGTATTTTGTGGTAGCTCTCTGGTTCCCCAACCCCGCAAGTCTCCTGGATAAACTGGCCCTAGGCAGTCGGACAGTCGGATATCCTCGGGCCTTGCCCTAAATTCCAAGAGACACCAATGCAGTTTCCCCAGTCCCAACATCGACCCCGGCACACACCGCAGCGATCACTTACGTGGGCAAGGCCCTCAAGGCGAAGAGACCTCTGGTTCACACAGCATCCAAGCGGCTGCACTGGGCGCACGGAACCGCACTTCACACCCCCAAAACAGGCGCTAAGAAGGAGCAATTAAAATCACGACAGGAAAATCAGAACGAGCCTAGTGGCTCGGGACTTGTGGTGGAATCATTAGTTAGTTGTTGCTACAAAGCCTCACCGTGTGGTTCGGTGATTAAGAAAAAAAAAATCTTTTAGGCGTTGACAAACCCTTTATTGGTTTACAGAATTTGGACTGGTAGCTCTCTCTCTCTCTCTCTCTCTCTCTCTCTCTCTCTCTCTCTCGCTCCAACTATCACGCTGCATGAAATATTTCTATCCCCAGCTTCATGCCCTTAAACCGAAGAGGAATTCCGGAAGGCAGGATCCTCTGCTGAAAATTAGAGAGAGAGAGAGAGAGAGAGAGAGAGAGAGAGAGAGAGAGAGAGAGAGTTCCCTGTACTCATATTTGTAACGACATCACCGATGTAATTTGTTTTGAATGTTCATTTTTATTGGTGTTCCCTCTGCCAAAATGTGCTTGATTACAGAGGTCTGTCCTGTGATCATTGCACACTCCAGATAGGGGAAGGTGCCTCGGCGAAGGTTCAGCTCAGGCCAGATCAAATCCCGGGCTGTTTAACGCTGAAAGGCTGCATGTTGCTATTAGTGTTAAATATATGGCTAATTATGCGTATGAAAATTAAACATCAGTGTTATGCTAATGGGGTGCCTTCAGCTGCGGATCTGAGCACTTGAGACTACCATTTAATCAAATGAATCAGTAACTAATACGTGTGCACGTGTGAACTTTCACAAGATCATTTCCCCGTCCCCCGTCACACCGCTAAATTATGAAAGAAATAATTATCAACACTTTCTAATTACCTAACAAAGTAATTTGGGATTCATCTGGGGCTGGAGGGATTGGGAACCAACAGTACCTAGCAACCAGCGTAGTTTGCGCCACGCAGCACCGCGGCTTGTGGGGTGGCTGTGTGTAGTAGTGGTGGGTGGGGGCGAGAGGGCCTTTTGTATACTTTTCAATACCGAGGTAGACCGCGCCTTGGCAGCTTTTGCTGCCACCAGCGCCCCTCGACGCAGCCCCGGCCTGGAGGCGCCAGCTTTGGCCACTGGAGGTGAGGAAGAGACTTGGCGACAAAGAGGGGCATGTCTGTACCCAAATATTGGAGCCTACCACAGATTTGGATTTGCTGAGGGTTTCTCTCTCCGTCCCGACCCCCCTCCCCGCAGGGCTCCCAAACCCCAAGTAGTCTGGTCAGACCCCAGGAGGTTGGAAAATGACCACCTGGGGAGTGTTCGAAGCTCCAGCCGCCTGGCGCCCGCAGGTCCCAGGACTCCACGCTGCGCCGCGCCCGCGGGGCCAGTGAGCCCCGGGCGCATGGCTCAGGGGGAGTGGGGAGGGGAGGGGGAGGCAGGAAGGTTGGGAGGGAAAAGGGGGGAGGCGGTGCAGCCGCCTTTCCTGGGAGGAGAAGCGCGGGTTCCTGGCTTTCCAAGTGCACTGCTTTGATCAGACCCGTGCAGCCTCTAGCTGGAGTGGCCAGCTGGGCCTGGAGAGATGCGAGCAAGCCCCTGGGAGCGGTGGCAGCGGCGGCGCGGCG